CGTGTACATACATTTGGTGATAAATCATTAGAAAGAATGCGTGTTACTTCATAATCTTAACTACGAGAAGCCATACAAGTGGAAACCACCGCAGTGTGGCAACCATCACCATGAATATGGCTATTATGTACTGACCAAATTTAGGTAACTTAGGAAGCCCAGTTTGGTGATGGAGATGTTCTTACAGTAACTAATTGCTTTACAACTTTATTAGTAAATGAAAACTATTCTGACAGTATAGTAATATCCATGTTGACCTTGCAATAGCATCAACACGTCTATAGTTTTTAACCAAAAGTGAATGAGCTTTCTTACTTTTCCACCTTGAGCACCCCGGACAGCAAAGCAAACAAGTGTTAAAAACTCTGGATTTCCTTCCATTTTAAATTGAGAAAATAGGTTGACTCACTTTACGCTCAACAGAGTACAACTGCATAGCACCAACAACACGATTTTGCTGTAAGAAAAAATTAAAGTCAATGTGCTATTCTTAACTGAAAAAAATTAAAATTTTTTCACTCATGCATGTGGAGTTCCCAAACTTTCCTGGTTGTTCAGTTACCATGCACACAAAATGAAGGGTGGAAAGCAATGTGGACTCACTTCTGGTCTATACCAGCTTCAGTTTTGTATCGCACAAATTTAGAAATCCAGCATTACCTTGAAAGTTCACAAAGTTCTCATGAAATGAATAAAAACAAAATATAATTTTTATCCCTGTGGTATCCGTACATGCTTTTGTAAAATATTTCACAGAAAGAGGGGGAACAACATACAAGCATGTACATTTCACTACCTACTCCATACTTCTATACATTACAATTTAGCATAAGTATAAAGTCATTATCACCTGAGCTGAAATTCCAATCAATAGTAACCAACTCTGTTTTTGATCTGTACGATAGTTGATAATTTGACATCCAGCCAGAATGGAGTGTCTGTCAAACATTTTCAATGGTTGTGAATCTCCTTCCATGCTCCAATGATACACAGCAGTATCCGTGACAAGACCGATGGTATTCACAGAAATCCACTTCCAGAAAGTTACTTCATCCACCATTGTGTGTGCTTTCATCTTGCTCTTCATCTCAATGTTAAAAATTTGCAGTGTTTTACCAGCT